AACGAAGGGGAGAGTAGTAATTGCCGCTAGAAACTAAAAATAAAGTAACTAATTCAAGCAATCTATGGAAGTCTTCTTTTCTTTATTTATGACTTTCATACACTCATAATCACCATCGAAACCATATTTGTCATAATCATCACAATATCAAATCAAAATGCAATAAAAAAGTGTCATGGCGTTAATAATGAAACACTTCATTGAGCAGAAAGTATAAAACAAGGAAAAAGAATATGTAAATACAAATACAAATGTAAAAATAAATAAACGCTAACTTGCAGCTAGTTTGGCTATTTCACGATTTGTGTGTGTTTTTTTTATTATAAGAATCTCAGATGCTCAGCTGGGGTTTACGAGTATGCTCTTTGATGTTTTTTTATTTTATTTATTTTTTTCGTACGTCTCCTTTGCTGAATGTGTGTGTGTGCCTTGGTATTTCGTGCTGACGATGACAAGTTTATTGTGTTTTAAGTATGTAGGTTTGTGTGAAAACAGCTAACAAATGAATTCTCGCAATTGTTTTGAGAAACGCAGATGTTAAGAAACAGAAAATGTTAAGACAATACAAATGAAACACTTAGAAGAAAAATTAATAGCAGAAATCGATTGTTTTGATGATGTCTCGGGGAGTGAATTGCACCAAATTTGTGCATTTGTGTGTGTAACATTACAAAATATGAGAAAGTGACTACATTTAGTTACACTACCACTTATTAACTTGCCTTTAAATAAGACACAAACACATTTAAAAAATTCCGGCAAGTGCTTTAATGGATCGCTTCACCTAACGATTGNATTTGTGCATTTGTGTGTGTAACATTACAAAATATGAGAAAGTGACTACACTTAGACACAACCACATTTAAAAAATTCCGGCAAGTGCTTTAATGGATCGCTTCACCTAACGATTGCTAGGTCAACCGGTTTGGTGCCGCGAGACAATTATTTAGTTCTTACCCTTAACAAGGATTCCGTTGGATTTCTTGAAAAAATGATGAACTGGGTAGCTCATGGTTTCTGAGTCTAAATGTTCATGAACACCCCAAAATATGCGAATGCCCCAATGGACGTTTGTAGATTGCCGACGCGAAGAGTAACAGTTCTATGCAATCAAACCTTGTATCAGCAATGTAAAGTTTGGAGCAGAGGAGCCAATGCTAATATCACCCATCCGTATCCATATTTTTATTTGAAAGATAATTAAATTTTTAAAGGGTTTAAGGAGCTGCAAAGAGGCGATCAAAAACATTTTCAATCAGCGCTTGGGGCACACCTAAGAGCATCCTTCTTCATGACCACAAAAAATCATGATCGGCGATTTCGTTGCCCTCATCGTTATAGCCTCGAAAAATTAGAGGCCTTTTAAGTGTTGGAGGGAAAGATTGTACAGAAAATGTAAGGCATGATCCTTTACTCATTTGTGAGGGTGAGTACCGGAGATGACGGTATGATGAGCTGCATAAGCTAGGCCCTATCGTACGTTTGGATGCAAAGTATCAAGATCTGAAAGTATGTATTCGAAACCGTAACCGCTGGTGAAGGTAGGGGAAGACCTCGGCTGCATTGAGAAGAGCAGATGGAGAGATACTTACGTAGCTTACTCTGTGTTACTAATTGACGCCAGCTAGTGATCAGAACTAATTACTGATGTGGTTTTTTGAACTATTTCAGCACTGGTCTGGTCTGGACAAAACATAGCCCGTTAGGAAACAAAATGAAAGCATGCTCTGATCACCTATCCATCTTTTCAGCCTCCCTCTTTAAATGGTATGGGGCTTATACTCTTCATTGAGGTTACATACCAAGGGTATAATTCTTGAAAGAAAGTTGGACTGGAAACGGAGGCTTACGGACGAACCAGGAAAGCAATAACCATCCTATAAGCTTGTAAAACAGGGGAAGGGGATGTAAGCGATGGGGTCCGAAACCGCACGTAACAGGTTGGATGTACACGGCAGATATTCGAACCATATGGGATCACCGTGTGGTGGCCGGTTGCACTGCAATCATATTAATTACGGAACACCGGCACTCTACACCCACTGAGGCCTTAAAAACTATACCAAATCTTCTTCCCATAGACTTTTACAGTAGACATCAAGTCAGGTCACTTAAAAATTCTGGGCACCATCTCAGCAAATGTTAATGAGTTGGATTACAGCAGCCCAATTTTTTGCTTCGAAAATAAGTTTTCTAACAGAGTTCCAGACAGAGGTGACTGGGTAAATCTAGCGATTTGTATAAAGTCTGTGAAACCATTTACTATTCCGGATGAAGCCGTAGATGTTTGATGTTTTCACCTCGGCTTGGGAGAGCCCAAACCTGATACGAATACTTATGGTAGCTTCAAGTAAAAGATCATTTGCAATCCTTCTTGTAGCGCGATTTTCACGGCGCCTGATATACCGAGGCTTGCGAGTCTCTGAACTCTTCCTATTATTTTCTGCTTGCTGCTTTTATCATCAGCACTCATATAGCTGAAATCCGTCGGCTCACTGTGGTGTACATACCGTGAATGATATGCGGTGACAGACCCCAATTTTCCCCAAAGCCCTATTACAGGTATAATACGCTTCTAGGCTCTTCTTTGCTCTTTCCTCTACGTTGCACATCCACGTATGTTTGGAGTCATGGATAGTACCTAAGTAATTCGCCTTGGAGGGAAGGTTCAGACTAGTTCCGTCCAGCTTTGGTATGAGAAATTCCTGAACTTGTGTTTTGCTTCTGAGCAAAACAAGTTTGGTTTTAGTATAGCCGAGTCATCAGCGTAGGCAACCATGTTCGTTTTTCTAACTTTAAAGTTAGTACCAAAATCGCCAGCAGGGGGGTGATAAGACTTCTCCCTGCGGAGTTCTCCTCGTTATTTTTCTAATCACGGACCCTGTGTCTACAGCTGCGTTGGTTATTCTGCTTTTCAGCATCGATTCGATCCACACAACTATATACTGCTGGATGCCGTGCATCTCCAGGGTTCAACTAATTGCTTCCGTTTTGACCTTGTTGTACGCCCAGTTAATTAATCGTATGTTATCTTGTAAATACCGACTTAAATCAGCTTTCAATGTATAGGACAGCGAAATATAGGAGAAGGAACTTATCTGTTCCGTTACCAAGCAGATCTGACCAATTATCAATGAGGAAAGATATAAAACTCTTATACAAATGTTTCGCTCCATTAATGGGACAAATCCGTTAACGATTCTTGTCGTCGCAGGTTGCAGGAAGAGGTGGAGAATGTAGAGAGCTATCTCTGATTTTCAGTGTTAAGCTGATCTCCACTCTGTGGACATCTGCGACTTTCAATGATTCATTGAGGTAACACGGCAGTTCTATCATAAGGGAAAGTGCGCTCGCTAAAGTGGCATTACAATGGACCTGGCTAGCCTTAAAGTACCACTCTGCCGGATTGTGCGTGGTGGCAACCACCGTAACCTACCTTAACTATATATCAACTCAGCAAGTGTGACATACAATAAGTACATTGTGGTTTTAACAGTTTCTTTTTATTTTGTTGTTGTTGTTGTGCAGTAAGTGTGTAGTTTATTTAGTAGCTAATACAATGAAATAAAATTAAAAATCAAAATGCCAAAGAAAATTTTAAACAGAAAAATAAATATTTTCTCATTCTTCACATATTCAACTAGGTAGCTAATACAATGAAATAAAATTAAAAATCAAAATGCCAAAGAAAATTTTAAACAGAAAAATAAATATTTTCTCATTCTTCACATATTCAACTAGGTAGCTAATACAATGAAATAAAATTAAAAATCAAAATGCCAAAGAAAATTTTAAACAGAAAAATAAATATTTTCTCATTCTTCACATATTCAACTAGGTAGCTAATACAATGAAATAAAATTAAAAATCAAAATGCCAAAGAAAATTTTAAACAGAAAAATAAATATTTTCTCATTCTTCACATATTCAACTAGGTAGCTAATACAATGAAATAAAATTAAAAATCAAAATGCCAAAGAAAATTTTAAACAGAAAAATAAATATTTTCTCATTCTTCACATATTCAACTAGGTAGCTAATACAATGAAATAAAATTAAAAATCAAAATGCCAAAGAAAATTTTAAACAGAAAAATAAATATTTTCTCATTCTTCACATATTCAACTAGGTAGCTAATACAATGAAATAAAATTAAAAATCAAAATGCCAAAGAAAATTTTAAACAGAAAAATAAATATTTTCTCATTCTTCACATATTCAACTAGGTAGCTAATACAATGAAATAAAATTAAAAATCAAAATGCCAAAGAAAATTTTAAACAGAAAAATAAATATTTTCTCATTCTTCACATATTCAACTAGGTAGCTAATACAATGAAATAAAATTAAAAATCAAAATGCCAAAGAAAATTTTAAACAGAAAAATAAATATTTTCTCATTCTTCACATATTCAACTAGGTAGCTAATACAATGAAATAAAATTAAAAATCAAAATGCCAAAGAAAATTTTAAACAGAAAAATAAATATTTTCTCATTCTTCACATATTCAACTAGGTAGCTAATACAATGAAATAAAATTAAAAATCAAAATGCCAAAGAAAATTTTAAACAGAAAAATAAATATTTTCTCATTCTTCACATATTCAACTAGGTAGCTAATACAATGAAATAAAATTAAAAATCAAAATGCCAAAGAAAATTTTAAACAGAAAAATAAATATTTTCTCATTCTTCACATATTCAACTAGGTAGCTAATACAATGTCTATGTATGCATGTNATTTTAAACAGAAAAATAAATATTTTCTCATTCTTCACATATTCAACTAGTTAGCTAATACAATGTCTATGTATGCATGTATGTAGTAGATATCTGCGTTGGTGTGTGGTTAGTATGTACTAAGTGTGGTTTTGTTGGCGAACACATTCTATGGCATGACTCCTTTTACATATGTATGTATGTATGCTGAAAGTTATGTCATAAATCTAATAAAACTAATATTTTCGTTTTATCTTCTTTATTCTAAATGTGATTTGGTTAAATTCTAATATTTTTATTTTTATTTTTATTTTTATTTTCTTTGCTTTGCAGTGTACCTATAAGAGGAACAGCGTCCGACGTTGTCGGCATGGATTCGGCAACAAGATTTAGAAATACTGTTAAGGATAGAAGTATAGTTACGCCTGCAATCAAAGATAATAAAAAAAGAAAATAATATAAAATATTTTAATTGAAATTATTTTATAGAAATTAACATAAAATTGTAAATATGCACTATGCGTTTATAAGAATGCTAGATTAAATGGACAGCGCATTGTTGGAGGAATCCTAAAAGAAAACACTATGCCGAAAATTAATTAAATACAAATAAACGCATAATATTTAGAGTAGCACAAAGCGTTGATTTACTGTAAGCAGGTTTTTCTTGTTGTGGTCGCAATTGGGTTGAAAGGCACTTCCTGTGCCTTGGACAGTTGACGGTGGGATTTTATTTTTTTTTATAATCGGGACTGAGGTTGTGTTTTTTTATTTAATTATTTTTTGTTTTACTTTTTATTAATAAATTAATGCGATGTTTTGTAATTAAAAAAAAGCTCTATTACTAAATACAAGTATTATGATGGGTCTAATTAGTAGCTAGTAATTATGGTTTAAAGCTGGAAAAGTTTTCACTCAAAAGGAGATGTACCTAAACGTGAATGCAAATTCCGACTTCAGTTTGTATCTATTTATGCCTGAATTTAATTAAAAACGAGTTTGTTGTTATCGTTATCGATATATTTTTCGATTTCATTTTAGAAACGGATTCTTATATGTGTATTGATATCGATATATGCGGTGTTATCGTTACAGATATATTTATCGATTTACTTATCGATACGGAGGTAAAAAAGAGAGTGAAAATTTCGATTTGAGTATATACTTAGGTCTGAATTCAAGTAAAAATGTGGTCCTCAATGTAATTATCGATAAACATGTTGTTATCGTTACCGATATATTTATCGATTTCATTAAAGGAACGGATCCTTATATGTTTATTGATACCGATGTGTGCATTGCTATCGTTATCGATATATTTATCGATTAAATTATCGATACGGATTCATATTGTATATTGGTGTCGATGTGTGAAGCGAGCTCTCAAAGAAAAGGCTTGACACTCTCAAGAAATAAAAAAAACTGATTGGCGAGCTTCCACATTGGCACCTTAAAGATAGAAGAGGGAGGTTGAGTCGTGTTAAGGAGGATTGGCATCAGGGAAATTTTAACATGTAGAACATACGTTAGGTACGCGGAAGTGAAGTATAGATAAGCAGGAGTTTAAGCCGCTGAAGTTTCAGAATTTGGTTGAAGAACGCCCTATGTTATAATTTTACTTTTTCTATGTGAATACCCTGGGTGATATATTAGTTAGGCAGTTAGAATAGATGCAGGAGACTACTGGACGTTGAGTTTCCAGGTACATAAGTTGTGTTAGCATATCGTGTGAAACGGCACTTAGGTTAGCTGGGTGTTTAGTAGACTACTTAAGGTTTCGATGGACCTATATGTACTCATTGAAGCCTCAAAATAGCCATTGTTTGGACAGATCACCGATCAACTCAAAAACCTTCAACAACTTTGGCAGGTTGTAGGTTAACGGAACGGCTGGTGTGGAGTGTATGCTGTCGAGAAATCTGACTGGAACATTGCAGCGTATTTCAGGTAGAGGTAGCTGTCATTAGCAATCAATTATCACGGTATACTCGAGGCGGTCTCATCGAGCAAGAAAAGAGTGCGACTGGTGCACTACTCTTGGTGACAGTTGGACCTAATATAAGTTCGGTGATCAGAAGTTGTTTCTGTTCCAAAATATTTTAGTAAGAAGGAATACGTGCGGTGAGATGAAATTTATTTGGTTTCCACTGTTCTTCTAAGCTGACCTTCCCGAGGTTGAGGTCTACACAAGCGGTTCCAGAACCTTTGGTCTCTAACTTGGATACGAACGTCCAGAACTGAAAAGATCCATTACAATGCGCTTTTTTATGTCTAGGAGAGAACTTCTATCGCGTCTTTTGATAGACATTATGAGGAACAGTCATGCTCTATCATCTGGTTTAGGGGTATGAAAGAGGGCGCGGAAAATCTCTTAAACAAATGTTGGCAGGCGAGACTCTTCGCTTTGAGGCCACTAAAGCTTACCTCCTTTCTGTTAAAAGCATTTATAGAGCATTAATACAAACACTTTGAGGTGAACGTTGATGGATTCAAGTCAGCTAACATATAGGGTCAGAAGGTCCACGGACACTGCCATTCAAGAGTACGGAAAAATTAGATTCTTAAATTCCGTTACCACGAATAGTATTTGAGAAAATTAAATTGTGCAGCATACTCGCCTCCACTTTTCTAAGGCATTTCCTGTTGAGTATTCTGCGGGCCAAAACTCCTGTGAGCATAGCAGCGGCGGCACAATGGGAAGAGAGCATTTTCATTCGACATTTTGAGCGCCATATAAGCGAGCGCTCGGTGAAAACGAGGACATGCGCAATTGCAAGATCCTTCTGGCCTATAGAGGATCGGGGTTGATCGAAGGAGTTCCTTACGCTTGCAAAGCTTCAGCTCTTGCTGTTAGTCGGGTTCCCTAGCTGGTACGCCATCGTGTGACTGGGTCTCATGTGGTAAGGTTAGGAATCTTACCCGATCCCTCCTGTTGCAGCTGCCAGGGGGATGATGAGGTACAATCATCTCAGCCTTCACTAGGAAATGGTTGAAATATTTTGGCCCGCTTTTCCTAACTGTAGTATATTCGTACTTACGAATATCCACTTCAAATAGTACACATATATTGTACTTACAATATATATACTTATAAAAAGCCGGAGGAAAAGAAATTACTTGAGCACGTTGCTTAGTGGTAGAAAATGTAGTGGTTTCTTCATATGTACATATATGGCTCATTCTCAAATCACCCAGGCCGGGGGAAAGTGAATTTAAGTTTGCGATAAAACTCACAGGGATTGTTCCTTGAACAATTTAAGGAGATACGTATTTTTTCTTTTTGCTCAGAAATGCGAATTTTTCAAATAATGAATTTTTTTCTTTTTGAGTACGAACGCTTCTTTTTTTCTCTCATAATAGCAACTTTTGATGAAATCGTTTATAACTGCCGCAAAAAAGCAAGGATTTTAACGATTTTTTTTTAAATTGCAGATATTGATCTACTGAATCGATCTAGTGAACTAAACATCAGTAATTGTTTATTAATAAATAATTATTGTTTATAAACAAAAAAAAAAATTTTTTTCAAATTGATTTTTTTCAAATTGCCACATCTTTTTTTTCTCTCAAACTTTTTTGTCTATTGGGGAATAGTATAAACTATTTTCAGTACGAGTAGCAATATGCTAAAATTCGTCATTTTCGAGTTATGATTTGTTTTCTGAAAATGCACTTATATGATGCTAGCAGATTTTCCTGCCAGTTGAGGGCACAAAAATTGTTGCCCATTATGACAAAATTTCCTTGCTGGAAATTTTTTGAGGTTGCCCGATCAGAGCCAAAAGTTTTTCCCAATTGGGCTCTAA